CCACCTTTTGAAAGCAACGGACAACGAGGTACGAACTTTTCGTGACAAATTTTTCCCGTAGATAGTCTAGATTTTCGCAGTTAAGTGGTAAATAGCTTACATTAATCATTTGTTTACTAATTTCTTTCAAAATGATTGCCTTGTCCCTCGGTGGACAATGATTTTACGATCCGAAAAATCGAGGGTATGGTTTACTTTGCATGTCTTAGGTTACCAACTGCAGGGCTTTGTCTGACAGCAAAAGCATGATTATTTAATGCAGTAGCAAGGGTTCTGGTCCTTTAATCGTAAACCAGTTGATCAAAAGTTCCATTCTTTTAAAACACTATTTCTAGTAGAAGTGGTGTGTTTTATATTCGTTGATACCATTTGTGTCGTTCGAGTTTTGCAAATTAAGCTTTAACAAATTAACAGCTTGTGAAGATGGGATAAAGAGTCAAATTAAAGAGACTTACCATTGTTTTCATATTACTACGAAACCTTCCTGGGTCAACTTTAAAGCTTAAAAAAAACATTTCTCAATCAGAACTAAATCTGAGGAAGCTGAGGCTAAAAATAAGTTGTACATGGCAAGAACTGAACATTCATTCTTTTAATACATTTTCAACATTCGAATTTTGTGGACGGCAGATACAAGCTTACAGTGTAAATAAATCAAGTCAAAAATTCTGGGTACCCAGCTTGGATTAAAAATTAGTCAATTCTTATTAATTCTGAAGAATTTCCAGGGGGAATTTAAAATTGTTGTCAATGACCTGTAATAAAATTATGTTTTTACATATAATACATCCTGCAACTTATCTGTTCAATGGATGCTGAACAAAAGATTGGAATTGACTCATCACAGCTTTCAGTAATATTATTTCATTTACAAGCATTGTTGTGCACTCATTGCTTGAGTGCTATGTTGATCAGAGTGTACAAAATATAGACCATGGAAATAAAGTAACGTGTAACTCAAGGCAACTTTCCTAAACTTTGCATAACTGTTATGCATGCACTATCTTGTACTCCCTCAAATTTGCCACTGAAGCTAATGGAAGCTCAACCACATTTTTCCATGGTCTTTTTAAGAGCTAGGTCATGTTCATCGTGTACAGTATCTATCAATTTTTGGATGCATGTTGGCATTTGATGTGTTATGTGTCTCAAAAGGTTACCCTGATCTGCCGAGTTAACCTACCCTCTCATTTTCTTTTACAGGTCATCAAAGAATCAAACTTTCCTTTGTTGCAGTGTATTTAGTGATGTTCATATTGCATAATGGAGCAGTCCAAACCTGTTTCTACAGTTAGTTCAGAATTAGTAGCTGGTCAGTTGCCATCAAATGAAGGGCTACACAATATTCAGCAGGTAATAACATACATGTATTTACTACCTCCTGAATTGGTTAACAGAGCCTACTGTATGACGATTGTTGTATATTAGTACTACTAAATGAATGTCAACTCTGTTACCTACATGCTTGACATGTGTGAATGTACATTCAGCATGTTTTGTACAACTTGTGTCATGGTTTTTGCTTGTTATAGACAAGTTGCAGAAAACACATTTTTTTCTTAGTGTATCATCGCCTGGGTTTGAAAAAAAATTGTTATGAGATTGCTATCATCTTGAAGAAATGTACATGTAAATGTTTATTCTGCTTCTAATAAAAATTATTGATTAAGAACTGTTCTGGTCTCAGGGAAAACATTTTAAGGCAATGAGAGAAAATTCCAGATCTAGTTGCAATCAATATTGTGAAATGCTGTTTGAATATCACTCTGTAACTGAGCGCTCTTATGACTGACTGCTCCTTCATTAGAGCAAAAACTTGTAACCACTTTTGGGAATTACCAACTGGCTGTTTTCTTTGCTTGTAAGCTCTCATAAAAACACACTCAGACTCTAATTGTTATCAGTGGATGTAGAACTTTACACCACTTGATCATGTATAACATACACTATAATTATAGTATGTATAACAGTGTCTTATACAAGGTGCAAAGAAAACAAATTTGCCCTTTGGCCTTTGGGCAAGCTCTCGCTGTAATGTACTGTACTTGCAAGCCATGCATGAAAAACAAAGATATTGTAAGGTTGAATTTTTGACCTAAGTGTCTCCTACTCTGCCACCCTGATTGTGTTTTAACTGTTTAGTATGAACCTTTTTTGATTGTATTTCTCTAGTATTTACCCCAAAGTGTAGTTTACTTGAGAAGATACAAAATAAATTGGATATCCAGGGACCAGGGTGAATCATTGAGTTAACAGCTCGCCTGGAGGGCCAGATTGAATTTTTTTTTTTGCACCCTGTATAATTGGCACTTTCTTGGATGTTGCTCTAGAAAGAAACCTTGTGAGGTGGCAAAAGGGAGATGGTTATTTTTGTTGAATATCTGGAATGATGCATTGTTTTATCAGCCATTGATTTCCTAGAGATATTCTCCAGTCAATTTTCCTCAAAAGGAAAGAAAAAATAACTACTGACTTGATGTTGAAAGGTCCTTGTCTCAGATATACATGTACATTAGTTTTTGTTTTGGTTCCCAGCAGTTATCTCCATATTCAGAGCAGTGGTATGAGTTAGATCAACTCAAGGCAAGTGTAAGGTCTTTAAGTCAAGCTGCAGGCTTGCCACATTCGCCGCTGCCACAAAATGAGGACAGTGAAACATTAGCTAGTGGTTTGAGCAGTGGTTCGGTGAGTGTTGAAGCTCTTGATGAGATTGGACTAGAGGAGACTGGTGTAATGCTGCAAGGAGAAACAGCTCTGACTGGTAGGCTCTCTTTTGTTACATTGAATAACAACTGCAATATTATTCCTAATAATTATAACTAATCCAGGTTGAAGTGTCTGCTTATGGCCCAAAGTGTGCCTACTGGGGATTTTCCCTATAGTGGAGGCTCAACTGTAATTTCAAGTTGATGATTAACTACTAAACAATGCACAATATTCTGTAACTAAGTACTACAGTACTCTGTAACTATAAAGATCACCATATAAAGCAGAGGTAAAGCAGAGGTAAACCACTCACTGATGTGATGGCCAGTATGGCAATCAAAGGATAAATGTAAACAAAGTATGCTTGAATTCCTAATTACATGTAATCCTTGCTTTCAACTCAGTGGTTAACTAATCTCAGAGTCTTAAGTTTTGAAATAGCTTCTGACTGTAAATTATCATTTATCAAGCTGACATTTTCATTCAGTCTGACAAGACTACTGAGGCTTATTTCACTTGCCCACTGGCCTCACTTGCCCAAGAGCAAAATTTACTTGCCTCAGGCAATCGGACCTGGATTTTTTCCTGCCCTGTAAATGTTACATCAAAAATGTCCTTTACTCAATTTTCTATTTCATCCACCTGCCTTCCCATCTACTACCCCAGATAAACCTTGCAGTGAGAACTTAAGAATGGAGGCATAGTTTTCTAAAACACTTCACCATAATTAAAGATATGTGGGTCATCGACCAAACTTGGGGTTAAGATCAAGGTTGTCACAAAGTTTTGAAGAAGGCAGCTTTATTGTTGGAGTAGGCAGCTGATTTGGCACATTTTTCTAAAGAATCAGACAAATACATGTCATTCAACAGTGCAGCTCAGCAGAGTAGCTGATGTAGATGGTGATTTTTTTGGCCTGTCAAGTACTTTTGACAGCCCTGTTAAGATAACTGGATATATATATTGGCCAAGTTCTTTTAGTTTTGAGTATGTAATATGAACCAAGACACAGTGTAGTCAAGGTTCATAAACAGGCCCACAAAAATATCTGGAAATCTTGACCAAACCAGTCAGGTCATAAAGAACACCATTTTGTTGCAGGATGCAGCAAGCAATCCTGAGCAGGCTAGATAGCACCATTTGGCCTGCTTGATTAGCCAATCAAAGTGTAGGATTTGATTCATCTTGCCCACTTGTGGAGCAAGCCATATAATGAATACAATAGTTATTGATTGGAAATCCGTTGTCTAAATCTTTTTTTTCCCTTTCACAAAATCATTTTGTTTAGTGTTGTCCTGTTTATGGAGCAATGTTACCAATCATTTCTCTGCTGTTGTAGGATCTGTGATGGTGGACAGGGCCCAGGAAGCTGATGCCATGGTAGAGCAGGTACAAGACGATGATCCAGGTGATAGTGGCACTTCCTTTAGCATGGATGGTTCCGGTGCAGATGACAAAGAACTAAGAAATCAGTGGTTCCCCTTGAGGCCTAGTGCTGTAGGAGAAGATGATGAAGACACCAGCCAGGTGGCATACACTGCGATTGCACCTGCTCAGCAATCACGCAGTGATCGACTGCAGGGTGTCCCACATGCTTGGTCCGATGACGATGCCAAGCAGACACCTCCAGAGAGGTCACAACCTGATGGAAGAGATGGACCAGATCTCAAGCGACCACCTTGGATGTCTAGCACAACCATGAACACAAAACAGGCAGCCGCACCTCCTCCTCCTCCTCTTTCTTCTCCTCCTCAGAAACTTCCTCAGTCCAATGGCACACCTGAAAGTAGAGACAGTGGAAGTGAGACATCTGTACTGTCACAGCCGCAGAATGACATTGGTAATGTCACGCCGTTGGACATTATAACCAGGAGTGTACCTTCTGTTCCAAAAGGTGCAAGTCTCATCAGTGAGTTAAAGCACAGACATGCCCCTCAGTTGAACAGTGATAGTGATACTGAAAGCCCAGTGTCTAAGCTGCTCGGCCCAAACTTCCGTGCAGTTCAACAAGTTTTGGATAGACTGAAGCAAGACAGGCTGACTGACAGTGTCAGCGATGACGCAGACATATCAGCCTCTGAGCAACAGTCTTTAAGAGAGGAAAGTCTACAATCCTTGACAAGTACTGGCTCAAGAGGTCATGGAAAAGAATGGATGACTCATCAACCGATTAAAACACGGCCTTCTACTGATGCTGCAGCACGCAGTTATGAGATGCTTTCGTCGAGACCACCTGGAATACTTCATTTATCTCACACTCAGATGCAGCAAGGTGATATGCATTTAGGGGATCAAAGTCGCCAAAGTGACACCTCCAATAAAGTATTAGAACCTGAACGTGCATCAAGCTGGACAAGTGCAAGGTTATCTTATCGTGATCCACCTGAAATGACTCCTACTGAAACTACACCACCGTCTGGCAAGCAAGCCGCTGTAAAGTCCTCACAAGACCAAAGTTCACCCTGCTCTACACTAAGCAGTATTACTTCTGGTAACAGCGGTGAGAAATTCTCCCAACGCGACTCTGCTCACACCGTTCCTCCACCGCTTTTACAGACATCTTATAAATATTCAACAGAGCAACATCCTCAAAGCTCTGTAGATATCAGCCTCAGAAGTTCACGAATGGCTTGGGGAGAAAGATCTGTTTCAGGTAGAAACATAAAGGAATTTGTTCAGCATAAAGATACACTTGCTAACACAGGACTTCCATCAAGCGCACGTTCATCAAAAGATCAACTGCACGAATTAACTCCTCGGAACTCCATAGGAAGTCGTTTTCTACCTACCAAAACAGCTTGGCCAGAAAGCAAATTATCCATGAGTTCCACAGCAAGAGAGCTCTCTGCCGATGAGCCCAATGTTGAGGTGTCTGGTGTTGTCCCGGCAGATGCGTTGTTGCTTCCTGGTCATACCAGTTCGGATCTCGTTCACGGTACAGAGCTTACTCCAAAGGGTGCAGCTACACATTCCAGTCTAGTAGAGAAATCTAATGATTCAAACAGAATAGGGAGACAGCATGCAGAACCTTTGCAGCAAGAAAGTGATAGCAATAGGAGTGCGTCATCAGATAACACAGATGACTTGTTGACCTATGAACCTGTTTTTGAAGGAGATCGTCAGTATCTGCGAATGCAAAGGGAAACAAAGCGTTCTGGCTCTAAACACAGACAATCTGATACAGGGGACTCTCATGTAAACAGATTACCCGTGAGGGTGGCTAGAGATGCAGAAACTGTTACAAGGGTGTCTGGCCAGGAACAACCACCTTCCATCCTACGGGGCCACGAAGGCCTCCAAGGAACCCCAATAGACGTGAATGACAGTCACATCAAGGCCTTACACTGGTCCCTTGGTGCAGGAACTATTTCTCCCATCTCGTTTCCTAGCGCTGCTCAGCTCGATTCACAACTGGGAAAGTCATCAACTCCTTTGGGTCCAGCAAGTGAACATTCCAGTGTTCATGAAGATGGTGTCCTTCAGGAGCAAAGCCTTGAGGAAGACAACTACACAGCGCCAAGCGAGGATCGAGATAGGGCCCCATTAAAACAACGTGAGAGTCATTCCACTACTGAAGTCTCCTCGTCAGATGAGATTTACAGGCCAGTTTTATACAGGGATGTTTCAGGAAATAAGGAAAATCAGCCAGATGAGAGTGCTTTCAAAACAACGTCGTATGGAATTTATGACATTCGCAGATCCTCAGGCCCAGGTAGCACAAACAGACGTCGGAAGGCCCTGGGTCTGGAACCCAATCCAACAAGGGAGGCTGTCAGTCAGGAGGATAATGGATTAGTGTACATTTCAGGGAGCTCGACACCAGGTAGTTTGCAAGATGTTAGAGGAAGGTACTTGGTGAGAGAAGACGATCCTGCTAGAAGGACTACTGACTATCGAGAGGAACAACCAGACCAAGAGTACTACAAAGAAAGGCATGAGAGGAGGGAAGAGCTTAGGAAGCCTAGAACTAAGGGCTATGAACCAGAAAAACAGGCAAAGGTACTTAGTAACAGGCAGGCTCGAGAGGTGCTGGC